ACTGGTAAGGCGCCCATGACGGCAGATGCAGCCCGCCAGTTGGACGCCATTGATAAGCGACGGCCCAGCATAGAGAGCCGCGAGGCCAGCCTGAACCCCGTCAATCTTGGTGTTGGACTGCTCATTTGAGCAATATGTCTTTCACTTTGTCCACATGATTTCCTTTGTTCTTTTTCATTTTTGCATCGCACGGCGTCGGATGAGCGAATTATATGGGTGCATCCTCAGCGCGATTGGGCGCTGACACGCTTGTCTTTTTTAGGCGCAGCACTTGCACTGGTGTTCAAAAAAACTGCTAGGAGAGATATATACCCCTTTACTATGTATGGATTATAGGGAAACCGAGGATTTTGACTAGATTTGGGCTTGGGGGAGGGAGGGGGGTATTGGATGTATATAGATCACGTTAGCAATTGTTTAATAAACACCATCCTTACTTTTGACTGTTTGCCTTTGTGCAGACGATGTGGGTGAATCAGCTTACTAATATCACTTGGTTAAACTACAAAGGTATTGGATAGGACACGCCAAATTGGGGAAACGCCGTCTTGTTACCAAGCAAGCGCAAGATTGGCTAAGCATGCACACCCGCAGATAGAAGCTTTATTTGGCTTTTCTCCACAACCTCTGGACCAAACAGGACCATCCCACATGCAATGTTATCATCACCCTCTTTCCGTATTCGTACTAGTCTACATGTTCAACAGACTGAGCGTCATGGTGTACCTTGAACCATCAGGCGATCTGGGGAAAGGCTTACTAGAAATGTAAAGAGGAATATCCAAAGAAGAAGATGAAAAAGCGGACGAGCTGGGGAATTGGCAATCAAACACTCATGATTGTACTATCAAGGACGTACTTAAATAAACTCCAATCCCATTGTGTGTACAAACCGTAACACCAAAACACCAAAACACCACACTCCCCAAACCATGTCCGCCAAACCCATCGCCCTCATCCTCGGCGCAGGCCCCAACGCCGGCACCGCAATCGCCTCGTCCCTCTCCTCCCTCGGCTACCGCATCGCCACCGCCTCCCGCAGCGCCAGCACCTCCCTCCCCACCTCAGACACCCTCGCTCTAACCGCCGACTTCACCAACCCCTCCAGCATCCCCCCACTCTTCACCCGCATCCACACCGACTTGCACGCCTACCCCAGCGTCGTCGTCTACAACGCAGCCACCCTGACGCCGCCCTTGGACGCCGGCGTCGTGACTTCAGTCCCTGTAGACAAGTTTGCTGCCGATCTGAATGTTAATGTTGTGAGTCCGTATGTTGCGGCGCAGGAGGCGGTGAAAGGGTGGAAGAAAATGGGGCAGGAGGAGGGAGGGGAGAAGACGTTTATTTTTACGGGGAATATGTTGAATCGCACCATTTTGCCCGTGGATGCGTTGGTCACGTTGGGCGTGGGGAAGAGTGCGAGTGCGTATTGGGTTGGGCTTGCAGATGAGATTCACAAGGGCGAGGGGTATCGGTGAGTCTATTTGATTCTTATTTCTTTTCTGTCTGGTTTTGCAATGGGAAGAGCATGGGGGGGCTGATTAGATTGGTGAATTAGTTTCTTCTACACTGATCAGAGACAGCCGGATGGCAGTCCAATGGGTAATGTTGTTGATGGGCCTGCTCACGGCGAGTTCTACGCTCAGCTGGTGCAACGCACAAACGAGGTGCCTTGGCTGGCTACGTTTGTAAAAGGAAAAGGTCATGTCAAGTTTGATGCGTGAGATTGTTGTGGAAATCTCTAGAGGTAAGATTGAAGTCGGCTAGGACTCGGATAGTAGTAGTACATCATAAAGCTCATACATCAATCATATTTTACATGTTGTCCAAAACATCATAGTCCTGGCCGATCTGCTTCTTCCTTCCTTTCCTGCCCTTGCTTCCGCGAATCTTTCGATCGCTAGTATATCGTCCATCACGGTCACCGACCAACATTCTCCCTCCTTTGCCCAGGATCTTAGCAGGTCCCTCTTCCACAGTCCTGCCATCCTTTTCGCCAACGCCAATCTCAATAGTGACCTGCTTGGCCTTCTTAACCTTTCTACCCTTCTTGTCGAACTCGTCGCTTGGGCGTCCCAGACGCACACTGCGTGGGATACGCGTCTTTGCGCCGAGTGCCCACAGGTCGCCCCATCGGGCTTTTCGTGCATCGCGGAAGGCTTGCTTGCTGAAAGATCTGGGAACTGTCCAGCGCTCTAGTGTACCAGCTGGTGTACATACATCCAATATGATGTGGCCTCGTCGCTTGAGGGCGGGCAGGATAAGTCGAGGGAGTGTAAGTGGGTTTACATCGGCCGTCGATGTCAATACAGGCTCTTCTGTTGCTAGATCTGGATCCGCGTCTGAAGCCTTCCATTCGTGGCCTTCAAAAGCAGCTGCCGTTGATGGTTCTCCCTGCACAAAACCCTTGCCGAGAATGTCGTGCTGGGGGAGACGCTGGTCGCGTCCACGTTGAACAGCGAGGTAGCTGAACTGGACGTCTTCATGGTTCTTATCCTTGGCATTCAGAATACGTTGAAGGTATGGTGGTCGAATGTACCGCTGGCTAAAGAAGCAGAAATCCTTGCGCCCTTGAGAAACACCAGTAGACTGATACATAGGGCATGTGCTGTGGTTCGTACATGGTGCAACAATCATGCCAACCTCTTTTTGGGTAAACCTGGTCTCTTCGTCTGGATGCGACACCTGGGACTCGACGGTTCGTTCAATGGTTTCCGAGCCGGGTGAGGCTATGTGCTTGTCCAGTAGATAAGCGCGTGCACCAGCAACGACTTCGAATCCTCGCGGCAGTCCCTTTTCAATGAGAATCAAAACGCCGCCCTTGGGGTTGAGCAAAGACCAATACTTCTCAACCTGTTCTTTGCGCAAATAGTCTTGTCGCAGAGGCCAAAGTGTGTGCGGGGCAATGATGACATCGTAGAATTTCCGTGGCTGTTGCGTGTTGGCTTCATCTTCAGGTGTCATATTCTCTGGGAGTCGAGGAATAAATGTCGTGTTCTCCAACAGCTTGCTGGCACGGTGGCGGAATGTATCGGACGCAGTCAGAACGGTCGCTTTTCCTAGCGGGGTAGCGCCGCGCGAAGTGTTCCCCGATTCCTCGTGCATGCGCTGCCATTCCGCCTCAAGCATCTCATGCCACGCGAGCACACCGACACCTCCTGAACCAGCATCTAGAATGGTACCACCCTTCTTGTTCTGCAGCATATGCTCCAGCCATCCAGTTCCAAGCCGCCTTCGGACCTCAACCATAGCACTCATAACACTTGCATATGTTCCTGGCTGGACGGATGCCATGTATGCATCAGCTTCGATGTTGCCCATGTCCAATTGTGAAGGGTCAAGTGGAATAGGCTTTTGCTCACTGCCCAAGCGTGCTGGAGCTGTGCTGGCCGAGTTGGGCAGACCCCGTCCGCCAAAAATTCGGTTTGCAGATTCAGCAAGGTGCTTGTGATTGGTGCGGGTCAGGAGAAGAGCAGTGGGGTCCACCAGGGTTTCCTTGGGCAAGAATACGGTCGAAGGTGACGGCTTGAAGCGGCCAGCGATAGTCAGAGGGTGGGCGCGCATGAAGTCATCGTCCTCCTGCGACTCTTCCACATCCTCCCAAGCCTCTGCTTCCTCATGTTGTAGTCGACTCTGCTCATATACGTCGTCGTGGTATGTCTGCAATTCTTCCTCTCTGCGTGCCTCCCACTCCTCTGGTGTCATGGTCTCGTCGGCCGTCTCAGCAGCCTCTGCGTCTTCCTCCTCGAGAGCGTCGTTCTCAGCGACAATCTCAATCTCCTCAAGCTCGCCATCTTTTGTCCTCCTTAGCAAAACCGTAGTGCCATCGGGCCGTTCTTCTTGGATAATTTCTTCCTCAGCTATTGTGTCAAGTCCTTGGGTTTCTTCTATTGGGTCGATAAATACGGGCTCTCCGTAAAGTCTCTCGTAGACTGTGTATTCTTCCACACTTAGATGGTCCCTGGGCAAGGTATCTCCGAATTGCTGTCTCGCCCTCCGTGCGTTGACTTCGTAATTGAGTGCTTCTGTTGGAGAAGGGGGTACATCCTCAGAAGGTGGGACATTTTCCTTAGTTTCTCGGTCCGAATCTCTCTTCACAGGTGTTGTCGAAAATGCTCGCTGTGGCGCGAAGCCTCGTGCGGCGGCCGATCGGATTTGTAGCGGTGCGGATTGAGTTCTCAGCGGTAGGCGGGCGCTACGTGCGCGTGAAATCGCAATATTGAGACGGCATGATGCGCAGATGGACTGGACGCTCCTCGTCTTCAGCATGATCGCACTGCACGACGTGTGGCTAACGAGCGATGTGCCCGCTGCAGGAAAGAAAGAAGTTCGCCGCACCGAATTCCAGGGTCCACGCTAGTTGGGCCTTGTTCGTCACCACTCGTCCAATCATATGTTTACTATTTGCAGCAACCTTCATTGACTACGGTGTTGCATTTAAATTGTCTTATGAATGACAGTTCCAAGTATGTTGCTGTTCAAGCTGTAGAATTAGTATTCATATTTATCAAAATCAAGCACATCAGCCCGATGTCGCCACCCGAGGACCTGCCAGTCCTTCGCATCCGACATTGTATACAAAACTAAAATTGCCTGTCACAACATATTTCCAGAGATACAGTAATACGCCAAGTAAACCAGAGAACTATGCGGTGGTGATTCGGGATAACACAGCAGTAGTGGCTAGGCATCCGGAATTCGATTCGAATATCCATTGCCCCTCAGTCGATTGAGTGCGGAACAGTCCGCCTATTGCCCCACTCATATCACCCGCATCGCGTCAGCACCCTTCTGTTTACTGAACCAGTCAGCCGAGAACATACCTGAATGACCAGACTGGTAAACTAATCAATCGGGTTATCTGACCTCAGAAACAAGCTAAAAATCGACATCTCCCTCTTCAGAAATCCAGTCATTTCGTCTTTGTTTATCCACACATATATTCCGTATACTGGTATCACAAGGTTTCAAGTCGTAAGAAGTACTCTTGGAATCTGGAGATGGGCTCAAACCTGTATAGCTTTGACTACCCTTCGCTCAAGGAGCTACTCAAAGATACAAATGCCGAGGTTCTGCTTCCCGGTGACGGGCCGGCATACGAGAAGAGCATTGAAAGATGGAGTGAACATTGCATCAAGAGAGCTGTAAGTATCGGCTTTTTTCTTCTTATTCTTCCAATATTATTGAAATTGTAGGCTTATACTAGACCAGGCAGCCGTTGTGCTCGTCACCTCACCCAACGACGTCTCCGCAACCCTCGCCCAGATCCGCCAACACAGCATCCCCTTCACCGTCCGAGGCGGCGGACACTCTACTTCTGGCGCCGCTTCAATCGAAGACGGAATCGTGATTGATCTCTCTAAGATGCGCAAAGTGATTGTAGACCCTCAAGCCAAGACTGTCACGGTCGAGGGAGGAGCCCTCTGGGAAGATGTCGATGTTGAGGCTGCAAAGTACGGTCTCGCAACTGTCGGAGGTACTGTTAATCATACTGGTGTGGCTGGCCTAACGCTTGGTGGCGGGTATGGGTATCTTACCGGGAAGTATGGGTTGACGATTGGTAAGTTACCCTTGATACCCAGCACTTCATACCCAGTTTGGCTTTGACAACAATCGAACACTGACAACACCAGACAACCTTATCTCCGTCGAGATTGTCCTCGCTTCTGGAGAACAACTCACTGCATCCGCAACCTCAAACGAAGATCTCTTCTGGGCCGTACGCGGGGCAGGCCAGAATTTTGGGGTAACAACATCATTCACCTTCCAAGCCTATGATCAAAAGAACGAAGTCTTTGCCGGACCCCTCGTATTCCCACCAGACAAGATTCCGCAGCTTGTCGCATTCGCAAACAAGTTCCACGAAACGAACGATGGGAATCAGGCCATGATGATGGGGTTCTCGGCGCCTCCGCCTGCAAATTCACCTGTTGCTCTCTGCCAGCTCTTCTACAACGGTCCGCAAGACGAGGCAAAAGCATTTTTCGCCGACCTTTTTGCGCTCGGTCCCATCGCAGACATGACATCCATGATTCCCTACCAAAAGCTAAACAGCCTGCTCAACCCCACGGCAGGCTTCGACGGACGCAAACAATTTGGTGGAGGCGCTTTCAAACTTCCCTTGAACCCAGAATTCGTTGTGCAGCTGCATGCGGAGTTCAATGCGTTTGTCGCATCGCACGAACGGACGAATGAGAGTCTTCTGATGTTCGAGATTATTCCTTACAAGAAGGTGATAGAGGTGCCGAATGACCAGATGTCGTTTTCGAATCGGGGAGATTATTACAATGTTGCTACGGTTTTCAAATGGTAAGAGGATAAAGAGTGAAGCGAGGCCGGTACTAATGATACGAAGGTTCGATCCAGCACTCGACGCCGAAGTCCGTACATTCTCTCGAAATCTCCTGAAGAAGGCCTCCGAAACTGCCGCGGATCGTTCGAAAGACGGAGGAGTCGGCCAGTATGGCAACTATGCAAGTAAGTGAAAATGGAGTTGTCAAAAGCTCTGATGCCTATTTTTTGTATTTGCACAGTCTCGTTCCGACGCTAATGGGAACAGATGCCGATGTGGAAGCAAACGAGATATTTGGTGAGAATGTGAAACGACTTGAAGGATTGAAACACAAATATGACCCGGATAATCTGTTTAGTCATGGAACGAGATTGACGCCGCGACCTCTAGTAGTCGTAAACTAAACTCCCGTGACACATATCAATCCTAACTGCACCAAACCCTTCTTGCCGGAAAGCGTGCTGAGTTGTATGCATTCAACCCGAAGAAATCTATATTAGGCATAAGCACTCTTTATGCTAAAAATTCAGTGCCTCAACAAGTTGTCACTTTGGAAATGTCAATCGCAGCCGTAATGTGGGTGTTCGAGATTGGCTGTTTGCGCACTAAAGCTCTATGACAGCCCGGGTGGGTCGAAACGATATTTTGCCTTGGAAACAATCAAACCAATCAACATGGAGGCTCAGGATTTTTTGTCGACTTCAGATTGGCTCGATCTTGGCTTCTTCGGCTTGGTGTATGTTTGAGACGGTTTTGAGTTGGGGCTCCAGCTGCACCTGGAGACTAAATAGCAATGTCCAATCTTTTATCTGAGTACGTCTACTGGACTGGAAGATCGCTATAAAACCAAGACATGGGTGGTTTTAGATGTGTCCTAGGCTACGCCGTAGAGCAGCCACGCCCGTATTTGGCAACGTCCGAGATCGTCCGCTCCACGGCACGCGGGCTCATATGGGATTAAGCTTCGGTAGAGGCGTGATGGTTGCGACGTAAGCCACTGGGTAGGGTTACGATCGGCGCTAGCGTTTGCAGTTGTCACCTGCATGGCTTGACCTTACACCCGTTTATACCATAACACAGACTTCCTTCGAGCGGATTCAGCTTCGTATTGGTACACTGTCATAGTCGAATATCGAGCCGCAAAGAGGGAAAAATGCTCATCTGGTGTGTTGGCGAGGTTCTTGTGCTTGACAAGCCCACCGTGGAGCGAACAGGAACGAAAAAGCACTTATGATCGGGAGACAAGGGATAGCGGTTCCATGGCGCGGCCCAGAATGTATACAAAACCACTTCCTGCAGGCCAGCCCTTGCACGTAGCCTCCAATAGCTCCCCACGTGACCTGGTTGTTCCTAGGGCTTTCCACAAACATGAACGCACCATGCTCAAAATTGTTGTTTGCACTATATACTGGTTTATCCCCTCTTTTCATTCATTCGACAAAAGTTTGTGAATCTGTTCAGATGGATAGTCTGAAACGACAGCATCAGCATACATCCACTTGCTGTTCAAATGGTGGAGGATGTGCGAGAGGGAGGCTTGCATGGTGGCGCTTTTTAACTTGAAAATCGACCTCAATAATCATGCTTTATACGAATTACCAGATCCAAGTATGGTTACAATTTCTGCAGCTGTAGCGGCTTGTCTTCCGCAGATCAGCGTGACTACATTCTGCATTGAAACGAGATCGCCGAATGAAAGTTCCTACTGTCGTTCCCAGTTTTCGTCCAGATGATCACATGCTGTTGCTGAGTGATCGGATTGCCGGAGGGATTTAAAATTGTTACAGTTGTAATCGATCGAGTGTATAGAGAAAAGATGTGGAAAATGGTAATGCACCCTGACGCGCTGAATATTGACTGCTTCAAGTCAGTACAGGGGCCCCATACTTCAGGAAGACTGCTCCATCATAGAGCATAGTCTTTTATATGTCTGTCTCTGAGATTGAATGCTCAGGCGCATTGAAGATTTGCTTTAGACATCTTCAATCTCAGGCCATTTGCCGTCGCAAGTTGCTGACATCCGAGGGCTAAGCCCTTTGGACATCGTGGGATAGCGCTGACAAGCTGACGAGGGAGTTGATAAGACTAGCTCGTCCAAGTCGGGTTAGGCTTATATCCTTGGCGGACTTATTAAGGACCTTGTCGGGGTAAATCAGTCCATTTTCCACCGATTACACGGTTGATTGCCCTAACGTATACGACGAATAGAGAGGCTCAGCTGAGGTGTCGAACGTTAGATTCGTATGCAACCCATGTTGCGGTGTATGTGGTCCACGAATAGCACCACTGCAATGTCCGGATCATTTCGGTTTCCGTGATTCCGTATTCCTTGGGTATCGGGTGGCAAGAAACCTTGCCTTCATTCCTCGCTGTGCCGAATACGGGCTCGAAATGCACATTTATTTTATACCAACGGCCTTGAGCAGCTTGTCCTTTTGTTCGTTGGCCGTGTTGTTTTGTGTCTCGACGCCCTTGACAATGTCGCTCATGGTCTCGACTTCCTTGACACCTGTACCATGTGCAAAGTGCCAAAGCTCGTCTTCTTCATGGCGTACCTGGAAGGCTTGCCAGTTTGGGGCCTTTAGCAAATTGACGTGCTCGGTGACAGCTAGAGATGGGCCCGAGTAGACGAGGACGCCTGGATAGCCTGGCTTAGTGAGACCCGAGACAGGAGGGGAGGAGGATGGGGGCGAGAGGGCAAGTTTGCGCTTGTTGGTGTTGAGAAGGTGATGTAGCCATATGATGATTGTTTTTGGGGTATCAGGAGTGGCATTGGCACTTTGTGGCTGATTCAGATGCGAAGAAGCAGATTCGATGAGACGCTCAAAGGACGCAACGATGGCATCGAGTGATTCCTCTCCCTCAAGTAGTGTCAACTCTGCTACGGCTTCTCTCAGACGTAGGCGCAAGTCATTCTTGGCTGCATCCGTCGCAGAGATGATGTCGGGAAATCCTGAATCGGGATACGTCTCCGGTAAGCGAAGAAGGAAGGAGCAGTGGCCATGATTGGTGAACTTAAACTCGCGGGAGTTGGGGTTGTAGTGTGTCTGGTCGGGATACATGGCGTGTAGTAGGTCGAGCTCAGTTTCAAGGCGGGTGGGTCCTTGGTCCGCCATGCTGAGGACAAGCGGAAAATTCTACCAGGCATGTACGTATTCACGTACGTAGCTAATGGGCAGATTGTGGTGGTTCCCGCAGGCAGTCCAGGGGGGCTGGCGGGAGTGTGCGGTCCTTTTTCTCGGCTTCTCTGGCAGAGTGGGAGCCAATGGGTGGGCGTGTGTTGTGGGTGCTCGACTCCACCGTGTAGTGGTTGCGCCGGAGACGTGACGCGATCCCGATCCACCGGGGCCCGTGCGCGGGCTGCACCTGAAGATGGATGGACGATGGGTGGCAGAACGACGGGCGATAGTGCATGTCGCATAATTGATGAGAAACATGGTCAGTGTAGGGTGCATAAGTGGCGTCGTAACAAGGCCGGTATCTCGCTTGCGTCTCATCTCTGGCTTGCCGTGGCCGGGGTGAATGCACACTCGAGCATGCTCGGGGGCGTTTGCATTGGCAGCAGGACAGGTTCCCGCGGGCAGAGAACGGCTGCACGTGTGTGTCTGTCCATGCACACACTCGTATATATGCACATGCAGAACAGGCGTTGTTTGTGGCCGTCGTTGTCGTCGTCGCCGTCGTCGTCGTGGTTGGAGGGCGAATGACTAGCTGGCTGCGAGGGTGTTGTGTTGTGCCTGGGCCGTATGACGGTGAAACCAGTCAATTAGGGTTCCCAAGGCGGCTAGCCGGAGACGCGGAACGTTCGCGCTGCCCGGTTCGTGTCCATGTGCAGGCGGCTTAGAGACATGGCGCCAACCACCCCCAGGCCCACGAATGCCTCGACGACCACCTCTAGTGATCTGCAGTCAGATAAAGAAAACATTGGCTCCCTCGCCCTAGCCTTGCCTTCATCAATCCACCACAGTCCGCTGCTTGCGAGGCCGCCGGAACCCATCGTGATCTTGACCACCAACTACCAAACCCTGGTCCCCAGCAACAAACAGCCTAGCAACCCGTTTGATAGTCTCACACCACCACAACCACAACCACTACCGCTACCACTGCCACCATCACCACCATTTCCCCCCTCACCATAACTTCTGCCCACTGCTTCGCACCTGGCCCTGTATTCACGACGCCCTCGCCATTGAAACGGCCCATGAGCAGCCGCATCTTGGTCCAACATGAAGGCTGCTCCTCTCCTCGTCTCCTGGCACAATGAAAACGCCCCCATCTACTCTGCCCATTTCGAGCCACATGGAAAGGGCCGTCTAGCAACTGCCGGCGGAGACAACAACGTTCGCGTGCGTCATGCCACCAGACACTAGCCGCCAGCATCCGCTAACACAAACTACAGCTCTGGAGCGTCGAGACGCATGGCGAAGAGCGCAAGGTCACGTATCTGTCTACGCTCGTCAAGCACACACAAGCCGTCAACGTAGTACGATGGTGCCCCCGCGGTACTTCCAGGCCAATCCAGCATGCGCGCATCATGGCTAACATGTACAGGCGAAATGCTGGCCAGCGCCGGTGACGACGGCAATGTCCTGCTCTGGGTCCCTGCCGAAAACCAGACAACCCACACAAACTTCGAGGAAGGTCTCGAGGACAAGGAGACATGGCGAGTCAAGGCCATGTGCAGATCCATAGGCTCCGAAATATACGACCTTGCCTGGTCGCCAGACGGCGTCTTCTTCATCACAGGCAGTATGGACAACATTGCCCGCATTTACAACGCTCAGACTGGTACGACATCTGCCCTTGCGCCACTCTCCCTACAGCTGCTCAATAACCTCTAGGAACCATTGTGCGACAGATTGCTGAGCACAACCACTATGTGCAAGGTGTGGCCTGGGATCCAATGAACGAATACATTGCCACACAGTCGTCTGACCGATCTGTACACATTTACACACTGAAGAACAAGGACGGCCAATTTTCCCTGGCCCAGCACAGCAAGGTCACCAAGATGGATCTGCCTGCACGACGAGTATCTTCAAATAGCCCTGCACCACCCGACTTTGGCGGCCGTGCCTCGTTCGTAGGAGATTCACTGGCAATCGGCTCGCCTGTACCCTCAATGCCTGGTACACCACAATCGCTTGCTCTGCCAACTATGCACCCACCCCCGACCTCGCACAGCCGTCGCTCATCGTTTGGCTCCTCGCCCTCGATGCGCCGCTCCGCTTCGCCAGCTCCATCTATGCCCCTGCCCGCTGTCATGCCCAATTCTCCCAGCATTGGCAGTATCGGTACTGGAATCCGCAATGCACCCATCTACTTCAACGAGACACTGACGTCCTTCTTCCGACGTCTGACGTTTGCTCCAGATGGAAGTTTACTCTTCACTCCAGCAGGCCAA